GCTCCCTGCTGAGCAGAGAGCCCCATACGGGGCTCGATCCCAGGACCCTGAGATCACGACCAGAGCCGAAGGCAGTGGCTTAACCCACTGAGCCACCCAGGCGCCCCTAGATGTTTATTTTTGTGGCTGCTGATTGTTCAGATGTTTTCAGGGTAAAGTAATTTTCATTCCACTTTGGTGGGCTGTTAACACCTTCATTACTTTGGAGACCATGACATACTAACAGAAGGAAGAAGAGGAGGAAAGGAAACATTTATGCACAGAAAGCACTAGCTTTCCTTGAAACCCCATGGTAGAATCTGCTTGTCTCGCTGGTTAGAACTGTGTCACATTGCCAACTTTATTACTCTTGCTTTCCAATCCACTTTTACATAAGTATGTTCATGAAAATGGAAGTAGAACCCCTAGTGCCCTTCCCTTCAATTTCGAAGTAGTCTGGGGAAGCTGAAAAGAAGCTAAGGAACAGCTAGGAAGAATAAAGGTTATAGTGTCCTAACTCCAGAGGACTGCAGAGTGCTCCCCTCTCACAACTAGGCCTGGAGCTCTGATTTAGGAGCAGAGCACTTAGGACTTTCTTTATTTTGTGTGTGTGTTTGTGTGTTTCTTTTCTTTTCTTTTTTTTCCATTTGAGAGACAGAGATGGAGTGAGAGAGCATAAGTGGGGTGAAAGGGTAGGGAATTGGGGGGAAGAAGCAGGCTCTCCCCGCTGAGCAGGGAGCCTGACAAGGGGCTCAGTCCCAGGGCCCTGGGATCATGATCTGAGCCGAAGGCAGACACTTAACCGACTGAGCCACCCAGGTGCCCCTAGGAGTTTTTTAAGAGCTATGTTGGGAATCAGTGAAAACACTACTGTGGACTCTGGTATTGGTGAACTGCTAACTTTAATGAACCACATCCGTCATAATAACTTCACTGTAGGCACAGTGTAAGAACCTTCAGTGCAAGTGGATAGCAATCTCATCAAGTTATAATTTCTTAATTTGGGTTGGTGATGGGTACTATAATCCAGTCAAGGTCAGAAGTTGGCAAACTTCTTTTGTAAAAGGCCAGAGAGTAAATATTTTAGGTTTTTTTTCTGAGCCTGATAGTCTCTCTTTTGCAACTATTCAGTTCTTTTGGAGCTGGAAGCAGCTATAGACAGTAAGTAAATGGGTGGATGTAGCTATGTTCCGGTAAAACTTATTTACAAAAACAGGTGCCTGGCTGGATTTTGTCCATGTGCCATAGCTTGCTGACTCCTGGTATGGATACTCTAACTTCTGAAGATTTGTAGTGAAGCAGGAGTATATTTATTAAATAGTACGTTTCCCAGAAAGTTACTCCCCTGACTCCTCATGGGTTGAAGAATGACTACATCGAATTTAAATTAATTTCCATAACAGTGCCTTTGCTCATCTATCCTTGCATAGATGCTTCTCAGTGGGGCTGCTCTTGGCATTTGTGGTGAGATTGTACATTGGGAGGGAATTCATTTATGTAAGAGCATATAGCCATTCATACCTCCAGGTCAGTTTCTAAAGATGGGTGATTTAGAACCCCTGGCTGAGGAGGCTTGTTTTTCCTTCTCCTTTCCCAGCTATCCTCGAGAACAGTACCCAAGTATTTCCCCTTTTCCTAGTCCTTATTATACTTTGTTAACTCTTAAATGGTTGTCGCTTGGAATATATTATTATGTACTTAATTTCATAATCTTTTGTCATTAAATTGTAAATTCAGTGAGGGTGGGGATTTTTGTCTGCTCACAGCTCTTCCCAGTGCTGATAACTGCTGTGACTCATAATAGATGCTCAATAAAAGTTTGAATTACATTGTTTACTGTTACGGAAAAATTAATTCCTTGCTGAAATATATAAGCTCCTGGTTAATAGGAACCGTTATTCATACTAATTCTGTGTCATCTCGCAAGCTGAGTTTAATAACTGAACTTAAATACTGGGTGATTCAATTTGCTAAACCTTTGGGCGTCTGCTGTATAGAAGGCACTGTGTTAGGTGATAACGGGATACACACATGATTAGCATTCCTGCCTCTCAGCATTTTTGTCTGATGAGATAGGGTTTAGTCAATACACAAATAACAAAAAAATAGTAGTTAAGAGTGAACTCTGGAGGCAGGCCTAGATTTAATTCCTATGTCCACTACTTAGTACCTGACTTTTTGAGCAAGTTGTTTAATCTTTCTGATCCTTGTTTCTTTATTCTATAAAGGAAGCTCTCCACCACCTCACAGGGTGTTAGAACCTTCAAAAAGAAATGATGATATTAGCATTTTGCATTAAATTAAGTTCTTACTATTAATAATGTAGTAGGATAGAGACATTGTGCTGAGGCCAAATTTAGAGGTTGGAAAAATTACTTCTGGGTTGAGGTGGGAGAAGCAGCAGAGCTTCATGGGGGAAGATGTCGTTTAAAGTGGATCTTAAATAATTGATAGAATTTCTGAGGTGGCAGGGATAGGGTAAGATTTCCTAGAGTGGGAAGGATAAGCTAGGAGCAAAGTAGGGAGGTTGGGAGAGACCAGGTATTTCCTGAAAGCAGAAATTCTCCTCAGTAAATTCCACCATACCCCACACCACCTTCTGTGAGTAATTAGCTAAATAGGTGAAAGATGTTAATCTGTTACTCAGCCATGAAGACAGTTGTCTTTCAAATCTAGACTTTCTGGGTAGAATGCTTGATAACTCTGAATGAACTACACTTGCATTCTTAGTGTCACTGTTCCCCCCAGTCCCTGTCACCTGCACAGATTAGATTGCATACTTCTTGACTGCAGGGGAAGTATGTTTTAATCAGTTTGGCTTGTTCAACTCTTGAGTGTCCCTGAACACCTAGTAAATGCTCAGCATATTTCAGGGGGTGGGGAGTAGGGTGGTGAATGAATGATCCTGATTAAAGCCAGTTCCAAATAAATTAAAAATTTTTTAAAAAATATGAACTTTTGAAATAGATGTTGTCTGAGACCTTTGTGAATCCCCATATCTGTGAATACTCTTGTAGCATGCAGTTTTCTCATTTGGAAAGCTGGGGGTAATGAGGATTTAATAAAATTAACTCTTCATATTTATTACATTTTAAGATGTACTTAAAACATTTTTCAGTGTTTCCAGAAAGGTACTTGGAATTCAGAGGAAGTGTACAATATAATCCTAGAACAAAGTTTAGTATTTTTTAAAAAAGATTTTATTTATGTATTTGACATCTGTTTTGACATAGATATTTATCTATTTGTCAGAGGGGGAGAGCGCAAGTAGGCAGAGAGGCAGGCAGAGAGAGAGGGGGAAAGCAGGCTCCCTGATAAGCAGAGAGCCCAAAACAGGGCTCCATCCTAGAACCCTGAGATCATGACCTGAGTCTAAGGCAGAGGCTTAACCCACTGAGCCACCCAGGTGCCCTGATCAAAGTTTAGTATTTTTTTTTTTTTTAAAGATTTTGTTTATTTATTTGACAGAGAGAGATCATAAGCAGGCAGAGAGGCAGGCAGAGAGAGAGAGGAGGAAGCAGGCTCCCCACTGAGCAGAGAGCCTGATGCGGGGCTCGATCCCAGTACCCTGGGATCATGACCTGAGCCGAAGGCAGAGGCTTTAACCCACTGAGCCACCCAGGTGCCCCCAAAGTTTAGTATTAAAAAGAAACATTTGCAGGCCAAAAGTCATCCAGCTGTCTACACTTCAGTTGACACTTTAAACCTCACTGATTCCTTTTCTCTAACCAGTGACCATAGTGACTGTGGGATAAGTACTGTAGTCCCTCACACCTAGGGCAAGATGATTTTAAGAATGTTCCACACTGTCTACTAGAGATCCCCAGCAGGATTGAGTGCCGGCTGTATAACCAGCCATATTGCACTCTTTATTGGCATCCTTCCCTTCCCTGCCTCACTTTTCCACTCCTTTACTGGTATTTCCTAGGGCAACTTCCTGAATAAACTATATTTAAAACTTTCTGTCTCAGGGTGGGCTTCTGGGGAAATACAACCCAAGACTGTGTGGCAAGAAGCATTTTATTAAGAGTCTAAAATTTTCAGGTTTTAGAATATAGGTTTGTAGAAATTTCTTCACCAGAATCAGTGTGAAACCTTTTTTATTATTTTTTTTTTTAAACAGATAAGGTTTACTAAAACGGATTTGCTTATGTACTGGAGAAAACATGTATTAGATACTCAAACATTTGCCCTTTTTGAATAAACGGTGTATAGCTAGCTAGTTCCTATTCGGAGGCCAGAGGTCAGAATGAGTCTGAATAAGCATCTTTCTGTTCTGTACTACAAAAGGAATCACTGATGTTAGTTTACTTTTTTTTTTTTTTTAAGTTTTATATTTTAGAGAGAGAGAACAGGCACGGTGGGGTGGGGAGAGAAATCTCAAGCAGGCTCCCTGCTGAGCGGAGAGCCCAAGCAGGGCTGGATCTCAGGACCCTGAGATGGTGACCAGAGCCAAAATCAAGAGTTGGACACTTAACCAACTGAGCCACCCAGGCGCCTCAGGAATCACTGATGTTAAAGCCCCAAATGTAAATGGCTAGGTATCATTTTAGCATGTTTTTTTTTTTTTTAAACCACTAAAATTTGTTCTAAGTTTATATTGTACATTTCCTTGAATTGTAAATACCTTCCTGGCAGCACTGAACATAAAATTAAATCTAGTTAAAGAAACAAAAAACCAGAGAAAGAATACAGATGCAAGCAAGAGAGAATAGGATAGCACAATCCATACATTTTCTTATTCCTGAGTAATAGATTTTTATTTAGGATGTGTCCATGGAATTCTGCTGATAGATTTTTTATTTCAGGGCAGGTTTGATTAAAAGAAACCAGAGAATCTTTCCAAGTTGGGTTGTGTGCCATCTGCTGACTCATCACTGTTATTCTGGTGTTCTAAAAATATATTGTAATATATTGTAATGCAAGATAGTTTTAATAACTTAAAATATCTTTGATACACTATTTTATAATAACATTATATGCATTAGACTCAAATGGTTTCTTTTTCCTTTTATTTACAGAATGCTGCCTTTTTATATGGTCTTGGTTTGGTCTACTTCCATTACAATGCATTTCAATGGTAAGTTGACACGAAACTGGTAACTCCAGTTATTTCTAGTAAGTGGCTTGTTTTGTTTGATATTGTATGTGTATGTATAATAAATACAAAATATTTTAATGTCACTAAGCCTGTGGTTTTCAGTACTCTCTTGAATTGATTAGATTGTTTACTCAGAGATGTTGACCCACTTTAGATTGTTAGAGTTGTATGCGTTCCTAAAAGAATATCATATGAGTTTCTGATTGAAGAAGGCTTAGATCAGAAAGCTTTTGGAATTTCTCATTCATTATGGACCAGTGGTCCCCAGATTATTTGAACTGGAGAATGACTATGCTCTCACATCTCAAGGTCTGTAGGTAAATTATCTTTGATGACCAGTATGTTTACCTTTTTCAGACTTTTAGACAAGATTGGCTGTCCCCCCCACCCCCGTATATATGCATGTGCATACTAGTATCTTCCAATTTCCAGTAACTAGGCATCAAATTACAAGCTCTCGATTCTCTCATTTATAAAATAGGAGTAATGGTACTACCTTCAGAGTCAGAGATTATGATAGGAATATGTAAGAATTTATGAACTATAAAATGTAGGGCCCTGTTGTTAACGGCCTTTGCCCCTTTGTTGTTTTTCTTGTTTAGGAGACAAGATAATAGTGTTCTCCAATGGAAATAACATAGAATTTGAGTTGGAAGATAGGTATTCTGGTCTCAGCGCTGTCACTTAATTTGATCTTGAGTTAAATAGACTCCCTAGGTCTGTTTCTCTCTCTCTCTCTCTCTCTCTCTCTCTCTCTCTGTGTGTGTGTGAGAGAGAGAGAGAGAATTTTTTTTTTAAAGCTCAGTGTAGTCACTTGCCTTTTCTACTTCACAGAGTTTTGATGATAAGATGAGATAATGTATATTTTGTAAACCATAAAGCCCTATCCAGACATTTTTTTTTTGAAGCATATCTAATTTTGTCAGAGTCCCTTCTGTTCTCCTTAATTTTAACCTGAGTGAATGCTGTGAGAGTCCAAAGCAAAGTTTTGACCAAAGGTTATAACCCTGTCATACATGTACCTGTTGGTCACCCTGGGTATTTATTGCAGAGCTTTTAATTATGTATTGGCAGTGATTCAGTATGGTTTCCCTAAAGATGAAACTGTAGACATGGATGACTTTTCCTATATGCTTTTTCTTCCCTCTTTGCTTTTCATTCTATTGGGTTTTGATCATCTGTGGAAGCACTGCATTGTTAGAGAATACCTGTGTGTGTGTATATATAGAGTATTGTAATCATTCAGATCACTCATTTTGTTTGTAAACTTTACAAAAGTTTAATTGGTCTTTATAAAAGAAGTTTTATGATTTCTTTCTCTTGAATTATCCTTTACTATAGGGCAGTCCTAAACTTAAGCCTCCTAACCTCATGTCCAGTGCTTCATATTTAAAACCAAGGATACATTACAAATGTTTTAAAATAGTCTTAGTTTCTTGAAGATCCTATTCATCGAATACACAGCTTACAACCAGAAGTGTTCTTAGAGATAACTTAGTTTATTCCCTTAATTTTGTAGATGACGAAAGCAAGGTGTATATATAACTGAATATTACATAACTGTTTAGTGGCACAAGTGAGGTTATGCTTCAGATTCCCCAATTTAATGTTTTTGTTGTTGTTGTTGTACTCTGACCCCAGGTTTGAAGATTGACAGTTATTTTTTTAACCAGTCTTCGCATTTGTTCTCCTGGGCACATTGGTACATTCTTTGTGGCTAGCCAGAAGTAATTTAGGTGAAACCTGGGGCAAGGAACTCTGCAGTTTAGGAATGGACATGTATACCACACACCAGCCGTTTTTTATCTACCTGTGATAACATATGAGCTCCCTGTAGATTGAAGATATAGACATAAAATCAGTAATGAAACCATCAGCAGTTCAAAAGTGGATTACTTTCCTAAGTACGTGACCATGTCAACTTAGGAGATTTTTAGCTGTGGAACATTATATCATATGACCCCTTATCTGTATATGATTTTGTATCCTTCAGTTGACCTAAGAAATGAAACTGCATGATACAAGGACAGTGCAATGTCTGAATTAACAAGTGCCCTCTGGTCTGTCGATTCTGTCCTGGTCACCACCATTTTCTCACGTCTTAAGTTTCACCTCTAGCTGCTTCCTAAAATGACATATTTCACACCCTGTCTGAATCCATCCTAGCTGTGTGCTTCCTCTCTTGCTGGTCAGATGTTTTTTGTGCCCCATCCTTTAACTTACTTTGCTATTTCTTGAACATATGGAGAATTAGAAAGCATGGAGTAGTTCTTGCTTCATGAGTTTCAGAATACAGCCTTAAGTGTTAGGAACGTCCTGTGTTTGTGTTTTATTATGTTTTGTTTGTAAGTAGCTGTTAATTCCTGGGATCAAGCATTTTTCTTTTCCCTGAAATTATTTACATGAAATTTTGGGATATGTTGAAAAAATGTTTCTAGAGGAGAGTGTATTATGCCCTTTTTTGTATTGTTAGCTGTAAGGATCTGCCTAGGATGTCTCAGAATGTTTTATCTTTAGTATATTTGTAGTTTCAATAAACTTCAATACTTAGTAATGGTGTCTGTTGGCATCTGCTAGGTTAATAAGTGTTTGGTGGTAATGTATACGATCAATGTGTGTTGGGGTTGGTGATGGTGACTTAATATTATTGAGAACAGTTTTATTAAGTATAGTTTTATCTGTTAACTTGTTTGCCTTGTTTCTTGCCATAGTCTGCCCATTTTTTCTGTTGGAGTTGATTTTATTGGTTAGCTTCTAGATCAGTTGTTACTGGTTAGTTTTCCCACTTTTCGGTTGTATTCTCTTCTTAGAGGAGCCCATGTCAGAAAGTAGTAGAGCACCTACAACATCCTCATTGGACTGAGGATGCTTATTCAGTTTTACTATTGATCCTACTCTTTGTTGTGGGAGCAGAGTTAAGAAAGATGTCCAGAAGGGGAAAGACAGAGAAACACAAAAGTATAAATGGCTTTATAAAGCCATTCCTTTACAGGTGCATGAATGCACACCCATGCCTTCACTTGTTCTTGCTCTTGAAGGGGCACATTGCTTGGGGTACCTTGAACTGAGTTTCTTCTTGCCTTAAAGTGAGAAACTCATGTCCTTGGGTGAGAAGAATTGAAATACATACAGTAATAAATTATTACAGCTTATAGCCATACTTCTAAATATATCCATCTGAAAATTCTTATCAAGCCTCTTTCTGACCTGCAACCTTTTATATTCCCGTTGATCCATATCAGAAGGGTCTTACAGTGGCAATCTAAGAGATACATAATTCTGTGCTAGAGGCATAGGATTTTGGAAATTAAGCTCCCAAATGTAACTGAGAGGCCTGTTAAGGAAATATAGTGATTATTGTTGACATTAAAAAGGGTTAGCGAAGTGAAGTGGAGGTGAGATTAGAAACATAGAAGTATTAACACATCACAAGTGAAGTTTTTTTAGGATTAATTCCTTAAGCACTGTACCAATCACAACTGTTCTTAAAAGTGGAGGAATATCTATTCTCCATTGTGGTGACTACTTTGGGTGCAAATAAACCTAATGTCTTTGGGATACTGCCATTGATCCTGAGGCTTGTCTAGCATGGAGTCTGGCAGAAACTTAATATTTAATAAATATTTTTGAGCTATCATAATACAAAGTAATGTTCTTAGATGAAAAGCTTAAGTATATAGTTCCATTAAAATGAAACAGTTCATGTTAACATGTGGTGTTTATTATGTACACTTCTGTTTTGACAAAACTAGCATTTAACTGAGGCAGTTCTGGTAGTTAATGCTTACCAGTGACACATAGATTGCCAGAGAGAATTTGGAAGGGCTTGGACTAATTAAGCTTCAGGGAAATTACGGATAAAAACATAGATCTTTGCAAGAGGAGAAGGAAAAAAGGTCTCCCACTGTCTGAGGTGATGAAAAGAAGACTGGCTAAAGAGCAAAAAAGAAAGCCATGAAGTAACATATTAGCAAATGACAAGGTGGAGAACTTCTGTGTGATATTTCTAATTTAGCCTCACATTTAAGATCCTCTCTGGTTCAGCCTCAAATAATCCTTCTAGCTTACTGTTCCCCTAAATATATTCTTTGTGTCAGTCACACTGTATTAACATTTCCCTAGAAACAAATTGAGCATTTTTTCAACCTATGTAACTTTGTGCCATTTACTATGTTTGGTCTGGCTTCTCTTAACCATCCCTATCTTTAAAAATCCTGCCTTGTCTGTCTCTTTGACGACTTCATCAAATCTTTGATTTGGCTCATTTAAAAGGAACCTCTACATTTTATAATATCTATGTGTGGAAGTATTTATCTGTTGGGTATATACATGTTATTACTGATTTAGAGTTAGAATATTCTCCCTTTTATCAGTACAGAATTTTGTGGTATTAGACCATTTATCCCTTCAGATATCCCTGAGGGAAATTTCCAGACTCAGCTTTATTAGCCTTAGAAAAGTTAAAAGTTTTATTATATCTCTTTCCAAATGTACTGAAACTGTTCTAGGGATGTTTAGTTAATATCATTATTTTTACTATAGTTTGGTAAAGTCCTGAGGAGGCATTTTCTTTTTTAATGACTTTTAGAAACAAAAAGTGCATATTGCTATGCATAATTATCATTGGCATTTATTCTCAAAATCTAAAAATGTAATGTTTATATTACCAAAATTATTGCTAGGGAATATGCTTTAATATTTGAAAAGTATAAACCTTTCCAGACATAATATCATGAAAATATTTTATAATTTTGGGTAGCCATTTTTCATGTTCTGAAATTCTGTGTCATCAGAATACTGAGGTCAGCAGAATTTATCTGTCTTGGTGTTTTTAAGCTAGTTTGTGGTGCAGAGATCATGCTTTGGCTACATGCAGTTTGGTGAGGTAAGAATGTGGTAAAATGACCAAAATTAGAATGTAGTCTGAAGGATAACTGTTTTCTCCACATACTCCCTGTCTCTGTCTGTCTGTCTGTCTCTCTCTCTCTCTCTCTCTCTCTCTCACACACATACACACACACACACACACACACACCTTTTTCCTTTTTTCCCCTAAGGTGGGGAAAAACTGAGGAAGCACACAGGAGAGATAGGTAAAAAGCTTAGAAAAGGAAATGAAAATGAACCTAGATATATTTTGTTAGATGCCAAGAGGTCAGTAAATAGACTTTGGAGCATTGCTGTTTCCTGCCCCCAGGAGAAGCCCAGTCAACCAACTATCAAAGTGATGGCATTAGTAAACATCTATTAAACTTAACTGTTTTCTTTATTAGACAACTAAAGATAAAAGAGAAGTGTGGACCTCAAGGAATAGGCCACTTGGAAAAACTGGTGATAGTATACCACTGTTTAGAGAATAAAGTGATTTGATTATACAGTGGACCTAACTACTGGTTAACACTAAGTGAAACATAGTTGGTGTTGAGTTTGGGTGGTCAGTCTTTTAGGTAATAGTGGATATAGGGTGAAATAGAAGAAATGAAAATATTTCAGATTAGGAGACCATCCTGAGGAGAAGACGTGAAGTCAAGAGGGCCAGTATTTGTGTAAAGAAATTCCTGAAATAAGCCAGGTCACAGCTGAGGAAGAACAGTGTTGGATCATAACTGAGAATAGAATTGAATGGGTACTAGGTACTGGTCACAGACCTTAAATGCTACATGGAGATTTGACTTAGAGAGTATCATGGTTAGTAGGCAATTACAGGAGGCTCATGTTTGAGGAAACATGGATAAGCGAGAGCAGAGCAAGGGTGTCCTTAAAGAGCCTATCCATTTCAATAATCTAGTAATGCAAGATATTGAATTTGAGGAAAGTTTTGAAACAACAAGAAGAACTTAATCATTCAGTATATATTGGTCATACCATCTCATGGGCACTTAAAGAAGATTTATTTATTTATTTATTTATTTGACTGAGAGAGCGTGCGAGTGAGCCATAATGGGGGTATGGGGGAGAGAAGAGTCTTTTTGTTGTTGTTGTTGTTAAAAATTTTTATTTATTTGTCAGAGAGAGAGAGTACAAGCAGAGGGGGCGGCAGGCAGAGCGAGAAGCAGGCTCCCCGCTCTGTAAGGAGCACAATGTGGGACTCAGTTCTGGGACCCTGGGATCATGACCCCCGCCGAAGGCAGACACTTAACCAGCTGAGCCACCCAGGCATCCTGAGAAGGGAGAGGCTTAAGCAGACTCCAAGCTGAGTGCAGAGCCTGATGCAGGGCTCAGTCCCACAACTCTGAGATCACAGACTGAGCCAAAATCAGGAGTCGGACGCTTAGCCAGCTATGCCACCGAGGCGCCCCTCATGGGCACTTTTAATAGTCCTTAAAGAATAAGCACAGGGTAGCCTGAACTAGTATGTTGGAACATGTGTTTTTGCTTATAGGTTAATTTTTTTTTTTAAATTTCTAGTGCGTTAACATACATAGAAAACTTGTTAAAGTAAACTAATGTTTCTTTGCACTTATGTGACATTGTGAACTAAGTGCATAAGATGTCTGTACCAAAGGCACCTATAGAGTAAAACACCTCTACAAATTTAGGGATTCAGAGGAAAGGCCAGAAATAGAAAGTAAGATGGAGTAGGAAATAATTTCTCCCAAGGGCTTGCTACTGATTCTCTGTATTGTCCTTACTGCTTTTCTCATATGCCCTTCCTTAGACAGTTTTTCTTTCTTAACTTCTTTTTTTTTCTCCTTTATTTCTTTTCTTTGCTGTCTTTCACTTCCCTTCTTTTTCTTTCATATCTTTGATTCAGGCCTGCCTGGGTTTTTTATTGGCACATGTGGACATTGCTTAGTTCTGAACATTCCACAAGAGAGTTATCTGACCCATCTCATAAATTAAGGTTCATTAGGATTTTATGAAGCATTACCCTCAATTTTTATTATTATAAAATACAACATATTTAAAAATGTATAAACAGAAGTATACATCTTAACATGTTATATATAAAATTAGGTCAAGAAATAAAAAATTGCCTTTTAGCCCAAAAGCTTCCCCCAAACTCCTGCATACCCTTTCCCAATTGTATCCTGTTTTAATTGGCCTCATTTACAGCTGCAGTTGTTCTCTTCCTAACCTTTTATGTGCTGAGCCCCACCCCCCCCCAACAATTGTCTGTTTTGTTAGAAGGTGGTAGCACTAGTCATGACCAGGAGAACAATAGAGGCTGAACTGTACCTCCTCCTATGAGAAAGCTTTGAGAAAAGTACAAAGAGAATGTCTTAAAAATATGTAGATGTGTATCTTGAAGTCTGAGAGAAATAGAAAGCTGCCTTTGAATGAGAATGGTAATTTACACCAATTCTTTTCTGTCAGGTCTTTAGCTTCCCTCTTCTACCTGTACACATCAGATAATAAAACACATATACACCCACCCATTTAAAAAGTGATCTAACACATAGATCCCAGCCTCCTCTTCAGGAAGTAAGTATTTTACCAGATATAAAAGTATCTGATGCCAGACCTGTTGCACTCACCCTCACAATAAACATTACTCTTTAGAACCCTTAATTTTATAATAACCATGTACATAGACCCACACAGTTTTTTTTGGGAAATAGATAATGCATGAATCAAAATAAAGTTACTTAAAAGACATAAGGGATATTGTGCTCTGTTTTGTGGTATAATATTATGAACTTTTTATATAAAAAGACTTTTTAGAATCCTCTAAGATTCTAAATAGCCACCTTTAAGATAAGTAGAGGCAGGGAATAGTTGATAAAAAGCTTTGTGAAGAATGTATTAGCTGGTACTTGGGATAAGCCTTAATTAAATATTGTAGAGAGATTTAAAATGATGCTCTAGTTACTGTTACATCTGGTATTACAATTTTCAAAATTCAAAGTAGACATTTTTCCTTGTCATGATTTTAATTTTTAGTAAGTAGTATATCTACATGATCAAATTAAGGTGTATAAAAATGTATTCAGTGAAAAGTGTTCTTTCCTCATGCTGTATTTGCTCTACTGGTAATCAAGACCATTTATAAAAGTTAAATTGTGAATTTGGGGTGAAAATAGGACGGTAGACCAATGGAAAGTGATAGATGATAAGAGAACCCAGAAACAGACCTACATAAATATGGACATCTAATTTAGGACAAAGTGGCACTGCAGAGCTGTGGTAAGGATGGTCTTTACTACAAATGATGCAGGGGCCATTGGATATCTGTATGGAAAAAATAAAATCTGAATTCACACCATATAAAGAATAAGGTACACATGGATTATAAATCTAAATATGAAAGATAAAGTTTTAAATAAACACTTACTCTTGTAGATTAAACTAGAAACAGGATTAATCTTTCCTCTTTAAAAAACAAAACTATCTGTCCTACCTCTCTTTCCCCTAGAAAATTCCAGAAACAATGAAATCAGCTATTTAAACTGAGAATTTTATTAAGCCATAAAATATTATTTGAATAATTGTGACTATACATTCATCTGATCTTTCTTTTCCCTTTATATTAAATTAGGTGATATACATTCAATTATATAAAAGACCCAGGTGCCACTGCCCAGTCTTTTTTTTTTTTTTAATAATACAGTCACGTAAAATAAATTTTCTTTAAAACCGTATTGCATAAAGCAGAAGTTTTACTGTGCTACCAAGCAAAAATTCATGCAAGTGTTAAAAAGTTAAGATATCTTATGTCTATATTCTTTCAGGGCAATTAAAGCATTTCAGGAGGTGCTTTATGTTGATCCCAGCTTTTGTCGAGCCAAGGAAATTCATTTACGACTTGGGCTTATGTTCAAAGTGAATACAGACTATGAGTCTAGTTTAAAGGTAGGTTTTTGGGTTTTTTCCAAGATACAATGTTTTACTTTGTGGATTTTTGTGGGGATGGGTTGTTGTTAAATATTAGAGCATTGAGAAATGTTGGAATTTATACTCGTACTTCAAAAGAAAATTTGAAAATTTAGGTGAAAGAACTGTTTTATTAGCTGTGAACCAGAAGATACACAAGATTGGATTTCAGGGTACAAAGTAGTTACGATCCTAAGACATAGGTAACTGATGATACCATTAAACTTACTTACTTTCTTTCTTTCTTTCTTTCTTTCTTTCTTTCTTTCTTTCTTTCTTTCTTTTCTTTCTTTCTTTAAGTTTTAATTGAAGTCTGTCATCAGGAGAATTTGAAGGTTTCAATCTCAGTTTGGACATCTAAATCAGTCCACTATAAGTGATTGGCCAGCATAGAGGTCAGGTCCAGCTGCTTAATGGTGCTGTGTCTGTGATCCCATCCTGGCCTATTTATTTGCATGGGTCTCACTAGAAATCTGTTGACCTCTACCAGTAGGGCACATCTCATATATCTAAATTATTAAAATATATTCTCTGCAAGTCATTTGAATTGCTGGTTTGTGAATATAAACATTGTTAGGAAAAGATAATACATTGTTGGTTAAATATTTTACTTACTATGGAAATTTGATATTTTTCAAATTTTTTTATTGAGTTTCTTGTGCTGTCTGTGCCATCACTTTAGGTCTTTCTGAGCTTTGGAAAATAGTGCTTTCCTGTGCAATGAAAGCATTGCTTTTTGAAGGATTAGAAGTTCTAGGAAAAAGTTTAAGTTCTTGTGGATTGAGGAGTATAATGGTTGCTATGTTCTAAATATCTCCATTGCAGATTATCTTGATCCTGAAGGGCAGGGAGGGACATAAAGAATGGTAAAGAGACTTTACAGTAGGTTGTAATTTGAATTCACTAATAAGGTACTATTGAAGGTTTTTAAAACACTGTATTGTTCTAGGGTTTTAAAGTAGACCGTTATGAACCTACTGTTTCTGTCTTTCATGGGTTTATAAAGAACAGTGCTGATGATATGAAAGAGTGTTATACAACCCAAAACACTAAAACAAGTAGATTGTGAAGTATTTTGATTACACAGTTGTCAAAGGTAAGTGCAGTTTGAGGAATTGGCACCAAGGTAAAATTAGGTAGTGTGGAAAGTAAAAGGATGCCTGGAAATAGCCGGATTTCGTCAAATATAGAGCAGCACTTCTCACACAACGGACCCTTGAACAACATGGGGGTTATCGGCATCAACCCCAGCCCCCAAGTTGAAAATCTGTGTCAGGACTCCTCATCAATGTAACTACTGATAATCTACTGTTGATTGGAAGCCTCACCTGTACCCTAGAGTTGCTTAACACATACTGTGCATATATATCGTGTACTGTATTCTTAAAATGAAGCAAGCTAGAGAAAAGGAAATGTTATTAAAAAAATCATAAGGAAGAGAAAATACATTTGTGAAAAAAAAAAAGCACAAAAACCAAACCTGTATATAAGTGGGCCCATGGAGTTCAAACCCGTGTTCAAGAGTCAACTGTATACTTTGGGATGTGAGTGGATTTGAAATGGAAAATATGCCACCTTGCATATTTTAACCTCCTCTTGGACATTCACAGTATACATTAGCTAAGAGATTCTTAAAATGTCTAATAATACAAAATAAATTTATTTGATCATTTTATAATATTGTCACACTATAACTATTATATGTGGCAGACATGTTTTTGATAGCAGCTTGGGTAAACCATGTTGCTCAGGAAATATATTTGAGTGGAAAAGATAATCACATAATGTCCCATGTTATAGAATTTGGCTGTCTGAGCATCAGTAGTGTCTTACATAATTCTGTGGATGCAGAAGCTCTTGTTCCCACGAAGGTGGCGATAACTTAAAATGTTTTTTAATTGAGGGAAACAGTGTTGGACAGTGTTCCAGCTCCACTGAGTTGAAAGTGTTCCTGCTTACTCAGGTTCAATAGAGACTTCATGTATACACTTTTGTTCAGGCATCAAGGCTAACCTTCAAGTCATAGCAATTTTAGCAGAATTGTTTTAAGTATAGTCTTCTTATTAAAATATTTGATAATCATCCTGATCTTTATTTCATTTATGTGAACAGAGAAAAGAATTTTAAGAGTCCTTCCTATTTCTCTTCCCCATAATGAGAAGGTTGCCTTTGATTTTTACCTCATTTTGACATTGGTTTTTTTTTTTTTTTGTTTTTTTTTTGGTAGGATTCTATCCGGTGTTCCCTGTTTCCAAAAGAAGAATTTTAGGCATCATCATTTTTAGTCAAGGAGGAGGTATTTCAGTATAGTACTCTCTAAGTGCTTAGCATTTAATGCAAATGAAGGTAGGAATCAGAAGGAGTGATTTGTCCCTCTCCCCTTAGTTGGCCTCCAATTTTCCTAAAGTGGACTGGGTAGTACTTTAGTTTCATATGGATAGATGTGGAACCTCTGATGACTTTTCCACTACTAAAGCTGTTTCCTAGAAGCACGTTTCTTGGTATAGATAACCAGAAACTTTTTAGAGACTACCAACTGAAGCTGATTAAAATAACAGTAAAAAAGTGGCTTGTATAATGTGAAGCGTAAACTTCAGGATTGGTTGATTCAGCTGATACAAGGTTTCATCAAGGATTCATTTTCTTCTCTGTTCTGTGTTGGCTTATTCTGAAGCCTGGTTGCCAGGTATAATCAAAGTGAAATGTAGAAAACCCTAAAAACTCCACCAAAGAACTATTAGAAATAATAAATGAATTCAATAAAGTCAAAGGATACAGTCAAAGTGAGAGGATTCATTTTTCATGTCTCATATAGAAGGATATTATAGAGTAGTGGTGTAGGTGCTTAGTATAGTGCTGGCATATGATAAGTTCTCAGTAAATATTTGATCATTCATGTCATAAAGGAGAAATCCTGAGTTCCTGTTGATGTCTTCGAGAATACTTCTCTCTGCATCTCATTGGCCAGAAATGGGCCATTGGCCATTCTCTATTGATTCCTTGTCAAAGATGTGGTTGCTCTTAGACCAGTTAAGCCCAGTTTTGGAGCAGGGCGCAATTTCCTGAATGCACTGTTCTTGTCTGATGGAGGAGTGAGGGGTGGGTAAAAAGAGTCTTTTGGTGTGGGGTGGTATGGGCAGTCTGTCCATTATAGATCAGGTCTTCTCCACCTCATTTTCTTTCACTACCCTTGAAGAGGGATATAGCATATACAGGTTCTCAATGATAAAATAAAATGCAGTTTGTTTTTGTAATAGATTTCTTATTTTCATCTACTACAGGAAATGGATTTCAGGGCCTCCTGTTTTGTTTTTATCCCTGGTAATAACCTTTTTTTTACCAAAATGTATCTCTGAAACAGATTCATTCTGTTTTGGTACTATGTAAACAGTTCTCAGAGCAAGCAAATTTGGTTTTAAAATTTGACCGTACCATAGGACTAATTGCGTGACCTTGGGCAGGATGCTTAATTCTTTTGATCCTCTTTGAGTCTGTAGTACTGGAGTAACCATCCCCACTCTGCAACATTGTTGTAAAGATTAAATTTATAGACATAGATATGTATACATACATACATACATATATACATACATATATAGAGATATATGAAAGTATCTGACAAGATTTTTTAACCCCCTCTTTTTTAGTCCTCAGTTTGTCTGTATCTAAAACTCCTCAATTTGGGACCAGTGTAGATACATTTGTGAAATCCATTTTCCCATCCTGTAATTTAATACTTGTATTTTTGCTACTCTGCCCATCCTCAGAAATGTGAAGTTAATGCCCAGCTTACTTTTCAATGATAAGGTTTTACTTTTCTGTTATATAGGCCAATAAGGATTTCATGTTTAGTGAGTCGTAGGAGTATCAATTCTTAATTTATTAACTAGTTTAATATTATCTGAACCAGAGTCCATTCCAGGGTGACATTTCTACATGGTGTTTTTTGTTTTTCTTCCCTGCTTGAGATAATATCCCTCCTAGGTGGGTTTGGTTGCCTCTTGAACACCATATAATTAATTCAGAATTTTATTTCATTACTTTCTAATGGTGGTAATGATAATTGGTTACATTTGTTGCGTATTTGTGGCAGTGTATGATCATTACTTCAGTAAAAGTACACTAATTTTGACAAATAGTTTTATATAATGCCTCTAATTTTCACATCCTGACAGGCTTAATTATTTCCTTCATGTGAAGGAAGGAAATGCAAAATAAGATGTAATAGCACCCATGTTCTTCAGTCAGTTAATGCCAGTGTATCTATTTAATTTAATGAAGATTATGTAGAAATTCTCCCTAATATTTACATATTTAAGTTTCCCTAGACTGTGTCGACGTTGGAACTTTTTTGGTTTAAAGGTAAAGAATATGACTTTTTAATGGGAACCTGTGGGTAATTGGCTGGATACCAGTGTAAGTTCCTTCATAATTTGGTATTTAAAGATGGTAAGTGCTGATTTGAAGGGTTGCTATGAAAGAGGTAGGAAGATGAGAATTGCAGAGACAATGCAAAGGAAACAGACTGAACTCAAATGAGACTTAGATGATAGTTTGGCATTGCACCAAGTGCCGAGTATTTCTTTCTTTCTTCCCCTCCCTGCCCCCCCGAATATTTCTTGAGTAGATAAATGGAAGAGGCTATAAAAATGATAAATGCCTCAAATAGGATGGGCTGGAAAAGCTGGGAGGGGGGTGCTGGAGAGGCTGGTTTTACTTATCACCTTTTAACAGAATTTTTTTTTTTCTAGACAGAGTGGCAGTGCATATGTTTTCTCATGTTCCTGTTCACCAGTTCTTTCAGCTTGTCTCCCCTCTACTGTTATATGTGGCATGAAACTGCTGAGTGAAATAGCATTTCCACTTTTTTTTTCTTTTTTACCTTACTTTTCTCCAGGAATTGCTTCATTTTCAGGCTTCTGATTTCATCTTAGACCCTTTATAGACTCAGGACTTTTATTGTCATATTTTTTTATGCC